AGAGAGAGAGAGAGAGAGAGAGAGAGAGAGAGAGAGAGAGAGAGAGAGAGCGAGAGAGAGCGCATGAGAGTCAGATGAAGTCCTGGGACCTCTGGAATGAGGTCTGGAATGAACACTGAGGACATCAGGGAAGCAATCAGTGCCAATTTAGTCTTCAAGGAGCACCAAATTGGAGTGGCTGGGATTGAGAGCCTGATAAAAATTGATAACACAAATGCTCCAAAATGCATCTGGGAGATGGGGAGGCTGCTGGGGCTGGGGGGAAGCCCCTCCCTTGGGACACAAGCTGCCCAGGGAGGGTTCAAATAACAGGAGACGGTTCGAAGAGCAAGTGAGCAAATGAGGCCAGAGCAAGGCGCTAAAAGCCAAGGAAAGGCGGGCATGCTCAGGGGTGGGAACGACGTCTCCCGCAGCAGAAGCTGAGGTGACTATCCCATGGCAGCCCAGAGAGTCAGTCATCAGGACCAGCCCAGGACAGTCTGGGTCATCCTAGGCCCCATCACCAGAACTCACTGAAGCCAGTAGGGAAGGTGGGAGCCGAGAAGAGTTAGCGCTGGTGAGTGAATGGCTGCAGAGCTGAACCCTGGGCCTCCCACTCTTGCTGTGAGACCTTAGGCATGTAGACCAACCTCTCTGTTTTTTGCCCCTGCAAGGTGGGGTGGTGGCAGTGCCTACTTTGAAGGTCTGTGAGGGTTAAAGGGGTAAATGCAAGCTGGGCTGGATGGTGCCCGGCGCAGTCAGGGTCCAGTGGAATACGCAGCGCAGTTACAGAGGTGACCCGGGGAGGGACTACCCAGGCTATTCTCTGCTTCCACGCCTCTTCCCCTCCCCCGCTCTCCCTCCCCCCAGTACAGCAGCTCCCCCTTACCTTGTGCAGCCAGTACAGGTTCATCTGCTGCCCCACAGCGACGTGACATAGTGCCAGGACCTGAAGGGGGTCCCCGGGGGCCAGTCAAGCCAAGTGTGACGAGAAAGCTTGCCCGCTCTCCAGATGCCCTGCTCCACACTCCCGCCCTTGGTCTGACCCTAGGCAGGCAGCACACCCTCCCCACAGGCACCAGGAATGCCCAGCCCAGCCCTGGCCTGGCCTGGCCTCCTTCCAGATTACTCCAGGCCTCCAGCCTCCTCCTCTAGGAATTCCCCTGCGCAAGGTTCCTGGGTTTGGCACGCAAACTGCCCAACTTTATGCATCAACTGTTTGGGAGATCTAGGCCCTGGGATTCAGAAACAGACTTGAGTCCTGTCCCCGAGGAGCCCCCAGTGCAGAATGGGGTCAACCTGAGTCTCTTAGTGCGGAGGATATTGGGGGTAGGCAGCCCAAGCAGTTTCTGGAAGGTGTCTGTGGTAGGTGCCGAAAGCCAGAATGACTCTTTGCTGGCCTGGAGGTGGGGGTGGGGATGAGAAGGGGCTTCCAGAGGGACAGCTGAAGAGGACTCATAAAATGAGACCTCCTACCTTGGAGGACTCAGGCCTCAGACCCAAGTAACATTCAAGAGGTCTGGCCAGAAGCCCACCCTCTCCTCACAGACCAGCACAGGCCATGTCTCCCTCTACTAGGAACAGACCCACATGAGCCCAGGGGAGCTTCTCCACACATACCAGGAGGCCTGCGATGTATGTGAAGGCAGCAGCTGTGGTCACGAGGATGGGCACAGACCAGTCGCTCCAGTAGCCCATGCGGTTGTAGAGGTACCTGGTGGGAAGAGAGGGGCAGTGGTCAGACCTCCACTGGGCCACTGCTTAGCCAACGGAGCTAGGATAATCCTTGTTCTCACACAGCTGCTGATGAGGAGTCACAAGCAAGCCTTTCCCATCCCATACTGGCAATCAGTGCTTCCCTTAGGGTCAGTCATGCCTACTTCTGGTGGGCACTCGGGGCACGAAGCAGAAGAGCCCAGTCACTGTTCTGAGAGCCATTACACTTCCTTCCCACCGGCCGCTGCACCTATAGACGTGTGTGGACAGCAGATCTGGGGTAAACACTCCACCCCGACCACCCTCAGGAGCATGGTCAACACAGCCCTGAGGGACAAACACACTCTGGGATCTAATCTCCACACTGCCTCTTGCTGGCTCATAGGACCTTGTGGAGGTGACAGGCATCACGGATTCTGAGATGCCCTTGACAGTCGTTCACCTCAAGTTCAATGACAGAATGTACAACTATGGAGCCTTAGAACGGATAAGATGTAACCCTCCAGTCCACTCACCTGTAGGAGGGGGATAAGAGAAAGCCCTTCATGGGGCTTCTGGGAATGAAGGGAGGGAGGCTTGTGACAAGGACATAACAAATGTCCTCCTAACGAGAGCACCCACTGAAACCAGGAAAAGGGCTGAGAAAACGTGATTTATTTGAAAGCAGCATGTGGTCTTCTTGCCTTCGTGTGCCATCTATAGCCAGCTTCCCGTCAGTGGAACATCATGGCTTGCAATGACTCACTTTCTACACTAACACGAAGACGAGAGAACGAACACATCTTTTTGCATTTCTATTTCCTTGGGTTGGGTTGCTATAAACAGAATGGCAGGGCAGAGGGAGCGAACTTCTTAAGGGTCCTGGAGGATGCAGCTGAGCTGCTCCCCAGAATGATGACTCACTCACAGCCTCCTTGTGTTTGTAGGGAACGAGAGGCTCAGAGGATAAAGTAACTCACTCGGGGTATTAAAGAGTGAGCCAGCGTCAGGACAGGTAGTGGTAGCCTGCCCGGAGCTGGGAGGAGACATCAGGAAGATTCCACAGGGACATCTGCCTCCACTGTCCCTTCCCAGGGCCCTGCTCTGAGCCTGTGGGAAGACCCACCATTCAGAAAATCACAGGCTAGGCTCATCTGACTCTACAGCTTGGGAAACTGAGGCCCAAAGAAGTCCAGGAATCAGCCCTGGAGCTACTCCTGAAAGATTTTCTGGTCCCACTGGCCTCTCAAGTGTGGCCTCATTGGGCAGGAAAGCCTCCAGGACCAACACACAATAGCTTACAGGTGTGTCCAACCTGCACAAGAGAAATTGTGAATGTCCGTCCAGCGTTGTTGTGAGTTTGGTTACTTTGGGTGTGTTTGTTTGTTCACAATAATCCCACGGTGGAGTTCTCTAGCGTACACTGTCGATGACAGCACTGTGTCTCAGTGTCAAAAGCTTGGACACTCTTCGGCCCTATGTGGCTCTCCTTGCCTATGCCCATCCAGTGCTGACCCTGGTGCTTATATCCTCTTTGTGCAGGACGTAATCCCAGAGACTCCAGGGAAGCTCCAGCCTCCCAAGAAACAGCTGGCAGGTAAAGGAGCTGCAGTTGGCAGGCAGGCCTCTGGGCTGCCTCCTAGACAGGCCTGGCATCTGCTGAGTCTTGCCAGTGACAGGAAGCTATTGAGGGTCAAACCTCCATCACTGATCCATCAGCAGCTTGCTGTGTAACCTCGCAAAGGCCCTTCTATCCTCTCTGAGGCCGTATTTCCTCAGACTGCACTTGACGTGTCCTTGGCATGTATGACCACGGGTGAGTGTCCCTCCTCAGACCTCACTTTGTCCATATACACCAGGCGTGTGCTGCTGTCTAGGGATTGCCATTGAGGGCCAGCAAGCAATGTTCTCATGCATCCACAATACTACCCAAGCTTTAGACACTTACAAAGATGCATGATTGACCTGTGATATGTAATAGAGACCAGGGCCTAGCTCCGGCACGTGAGTGGGTCTGGCTCATCTTGCTGGGCTACAGGGCAGGCGGAGGCAACAGCAGTGTGCCCTTTACTGTGTTCATTAATGACAGTGGTCCAGTCTGGAGCTTTGGAGAGTATGACAGTTCATATCGATCGTCAACTTGACAGAATCTAGACTCACCTAGGACGCACTGAGGGAGTTTCTAGACCAGGTTAAATGAGGCGGGGAGACCACCCTGAATGTGGGTGGTGCCATCCCATGGGCTGGGGTCCTGGCTTGACTAAAAAGCAGGAGCAAGATGAGCATCAGAATTTATCTCCCCCCGAGCCTGATGTGATAAAAGCGGCTGCTTCAAGCTCCTGTTGCCATGATTGACAGGAACTGTGAGCCAAAGCAGACCCCTCCTTTCTGAAGTGGCTTGTGTCAACCATTTTGTCACAGCGACGGGAAAGTAACTAACACACAGGTGGGTGGACATGTCATGTCCCATTAATAGTCTTGGGATCCTAGCAGAATCCTTGAACCTCAGCCCACCAGAAGCCGAGTCTGACGAGCCCCGTGCTCTGAGTCAGAGCCTCCCTCGGGTGGAGACTTGGCTTCCCAGGAAGCAGCTCTGTGCCCTGCCCCCACCCATCCCCCTGTCTCATCCTCATAAGAACCTGATGAGACGAGTTATCCTACCTCACAGAGGGAGAAAGAAACTCAGGGCGCACCAGAGGCTTGCTCCCTAGCCCTGACTCCCCACACTGGACACGTGAACTTGGGCCTCAGTTTCCAAAATCTGTCAGTGGAAGAGTTCTCAGAAGTACCCAGGATCTGCTTCCCTGCCCGTGTCTTTCCGGGTCAACACAAAGCTGGCAATGGAGGAGGTGAGGGCATGGGTAGTGTTGTAGCTGCCCTTGGACCCGAAGTGCCCCTAAAGGAGGCAGAGCTGAATTAGACAGTGACATCTGCCAGCCATGCCAGTCCAGCCACAGAAGCCAGGGAACCCAAAGCTAGGAACTGCCTCTTCTGCCCAGATCTTGGTCTCTCTTGGCCTTGAGCTCTTGTCTTCGAAGGGGGCTAGCAGCCCTCCACCTCAGGCTGATATCACTCTGCCTTCTGCCCCTGTTCTTCACAGCCTGGGCCTAGAGAGCATCACTGAGTCTCCTTGTAAACTTTAGGGGATCTAAGAGCCAGCTCAGGCTAGCTCCCATGTCTCCTCCTCCAGGAAGCCTTCCTGAAGGCCTGCAGAGGGGCAGGACCTGGGCTCCAGAGTGGGCCTTGCTTGAGGCCACAGGGGAACGGGTTGTAGGACTCCAGGGCCAGGCTGGGCCCCGGGGATTCCTCCACTTACCAGTTGAACTCATCGTAGTCGTTGTGAACTTCCCACCAGAAGTAGAGCCAGGTGAGAGTGAGGCTGAAGGTGCAAACCAGGAGCAAGAACCACAGGCGTTCCCACTGCAAGAGCAGAGCAGAGCAGAGGACAGAGTCACAAAAATCATCACAGCGTCACAGCGTCACATCGGGCGGCTCCCACAAGAGCACACAGCCAGGAGCAGGGCTGGGGGTCCCACCAGGAAGCAAGCGGCAACCTAAGGCCTTTCTGCTGCATCTGGAGGCCTGCCCAGTGTGTGCTAGCTAGTCCGCTGTCCTGGTGCTGGTCCCTAGGAACAAAGAAAGCCTCTCACAGAGTCTCCTGTAGCCCTGGCCAGCCTCGAACTCCTTATGTAGCTGAAAATGGCCTTGAGTGCCAGAGGCAAAGGATCCTCCTGGAGCTGGAATTATAGGCACTTGTGAGATGCACATGGATGCTGGAAATGGAACTCAGGTCAGTATTACCACTGAGTCAACTGTCCTGCCAACCAAGTAGTTTTAAGGTGGTGCTGGGTATGGAAAGCGGGGTTTTGTGCATGCTAGGCAAGCACTGTCAATGAGCGAAAACCCCAGCCCCTTACATCTCCCCTGTTCCATTCTCCTAAGTTCACACGGCAGGCATCGCTTACCACCTCTACCTGACACTACTGACAGAAACGCTGAAGTCCAGAGAGACCAACCAGTTTGCCAGAGCCACACAGCTAGTTAGTAGGTTAGGACCAGTGAGCTCCCTAACTGGAAGAAATGCAGCGACTGCCTTCTCCCTATGGCGCTGGGGCCTCAGGGCTGAGCTGGGAAAGATCACACCCTTTCCACTCCTGCTGGAGTGGGTAAACACAGGCCCAGCCATGCAGCTCCCGGGAGCCTGGGCTCAGAAGGCTTGCAAGTGCATCCTCTGGCCAAGCCCTGGGTTTTCCCCAGCTTCCACGCCTCTGTTGAGCTCAGCAGCACAAACTAGGGCAGATCATCTTGCTATGCCCTGAGAAGCTGCTGAGGTCAACAGCAACGATCTGAAATGAGATTCGAGAACTCAGATAATTCACCCCTGGAGCGCTGAGTCCCCCAAAGTCCCATATCCGTTCCGATCTCTCCAACACAGGATGGCCAGCCTGGCAAAAGGATTGGGAGGATCCCATTGGTTAATATCCCCCTGGCCCCTCACTGTTTAGCCAAGCAAGGATGCTCTTTCTTCCATGTGTTACCCCTGACCCCCAGCTTCATCCCCTCAACCGGGAAGGACCACAGGCTTGGGCTTGTCATTCCGTGTCCCCATTTTCCCATGGAGGATCTATGGAGTTGGGTCACATGCCACCCCCTCTGGGAAGTCTTCCTGGACTCAGCTCTAGCCCCTCGAGCTCACTGTGCTCCAAAGCATCAATGCCTCTCTTCTCCAAACTCACCCTCTGTGCCCCTAGGTGGCATGGGACCCACCAGTATTGATGACTAGGAAAGAGGGTGTCAGGAGGAGAAAAAACATTCCCTAACTTCCCAGACCCCCTCCATCCCACATCAGTAACTAAATGTTGTGTTTGGAGCCAGGCGACCCGGGAATCTCAAATCCCCATGACCACTGATGAGCTGTGCGTCTCTGGACAGGTGACTCAACCTCTCTGTGTCTGTTTCTTCTCTGTGAACTAAATCCAGTAATGGCATTCATAGCACAAGGTTGATATGAATGCCCCCCCGCCCCCATGCAGGAGAGGTTCTCAACCTGGATAATCCAGGACTGGGTACACACTGACACCCTCATACCAAGGTGGTGACCCATGTTTGGGTGAGCAGCCGCCGCCACTCACGGGCACGTGCAGAGCTAGGCTGCCGGGCCTAACCCTGCTCTGCTTGTAAACAGGGATGTGAAGGTGACATGCCTTTCAAGCCTGGGCTACACCAGGTTCGGAGTGGGGGGGGGGTAGAGGGGTGAAGATAGCTTTTCAGAGAAAAGCTCACCTGTGTCCGCCCCACCTGGGCATGGGCCAGCACAGCCCCAGACTAGGAGAGAGAGTCCTGGCTAGAACAAGACAGGTCTTCCTGTGGGGACCGGACCTGGGGGGCGGGGGGGGGGCACCAAGATGGCTGGGATGGCAAAGGAGCAGAGTGAGTGGCCCTCAGTCCTTCTCCCCAGAGCCTGCACCTTCCCCTCCACCAACCCCAGCCCGAGGTCCAGTCCCGACAGTCTCGCCTGTTGCCTCCCGCTCCTAGGCGCTCATCAAAGGCTTGTTTCCTGGAGTCCAGCTGGCAGGTCCCAGGTCAGCTTTAACATCGGGCTCCCACTCAGTACAGCACACTCCCACCTCCCCGTCACGTTGTCAAGCAAAAACTCCCACGGGTCTCAGCTCCACAGACTCCAGGGCCCACCCACAGCTAGTCCACCGAGGCAGAGGGAGGCTCCTGGGACGGGGAGCCTGAACCTACCGGGGCCTGTCCTAGGCAAATAGCCTGGGTGTGGAGAGGGCAGGCAGGGGACGTACCACAAGTATGACACAAGCCCCAGGACAGCGTTGCTAAGGGGCCGGGAGGCCAAAGCTGCAGATGGAACAGGTTGGGGAAGGCAGGCAGGCAGGGGTCCTGAGCTCACTTGGCCACATCCCAGTGGTGAGGCAAGGCCAGGGCACCTATGAGCCGTCCCAGGCTCTCAGCAGCTGGGAACTGACAAGGTTAGAGCCAATGAGGAGGCATGGCAGGAGCGTGCGGGGCCTTGGAAACCAGGAACTAGGAACCTCATCTCCAGAAGCTCGGGCTGAAGAGCCTAGTGATTAAACTCTCTCAGAAGCTGATGGATGGGGCCGAAGAGGCCGACACAGGAGGAGAGAGGCGCATGGCTGTATCGAGAACAATCAGAGGAAAAAAACTGAATGGCGGGGGTCGGAAGAGAGGGGATGGCGGAGGAAGGTGACGAGTGGGAGAGGAAGTGGCCTCCCCGCAGTCCCACTGATAGAGAGGCTCTCAGGGGCACTAATGGACCTTGTCAGGGAGAATTACCAAGGAGAAAGGCCTGGGCATGCTCTGCCCATTAGCGAGTGGGTCTGGCTGGGCTCCGAGGAGACACAGAGGGCACCCTGCCTCACCAGCCTCCGAGGCGACACCAGTGGAGCTTGAGGCCCTGGCCCTCCGTCTCTCTGCATGGCACCAGAGGGGGTTACAGGAATGCGCTGCAGCACGTGATGGCTCAGAAAGGGAAGGACCCTTCTGATCACATCACCTGTAGGTAAGCAACTGTGCCTGCCACTGTGCAGCTAACCACACACGTAGAGTGCTGTGACAATCGTCTGGCAGACAGGAGTCGAGGGGGTCAACATGGGCTGGGAGAGGCCGGAGAGGCCACCAAGTAAGGGAGTTCTGAGATGTTCCCCCTGAACTTGTCCTACCCCACCGGGGCTCGGTATGGCAACCCCAGGCCCGGTGTCCATTCACCCTCCCCTTTCTGCAGGCTGTACCCACCCCCAGGTCTAACCTCTGGCTCCTCCTGGATGCCTCTGTGTCCCTGTATCCCCCCAACAACCTCCCCCCCCCCAAACATCCTGTGCTGACTCTTGGTACCCAGCCACCTGCCCTCCAATGGCACCCAGCTGCAGAGCTGGGAAACATATCTCAGAGCTGCAGCTTAAGCCGGGGGTCTGCCCTCAGAGCCTGGAGGCCTCGCCTATAGGATGGGAACACTCCGAGCCTGACTTCGGAAGGGCGCTGTCGAGGAAGCTGGGCCGCTTCCAGTGACTCACAGTAAGTGTGGCATAAAAGGCGAGTCCACTGACTAGCTCACACATTCCTGGGGGGGCAGGCAGTAGGGCATGGTGTGACCTGGGTCCCCAGGGCTACCAGTGTGTTGGGACACAAAGTGGTGCTCAGATATGGTGTGGGGAACCAAGAAAGGATGGATTCACGTGACATTCACTGACATTCACTGATTCAACTGACAGAGAATCCCCAAGGTTCCAGCCCCACCGTCCTGTCTCATCTCCTCCCACTCGCGCCCTGGTTCTCCAGGAGCTGAGACCCTTTGTGGCAGAAGGGCCACAGGGGGCTGATTTCATCAAAGGTAGGGGTTTCTCCTCCCTACCTCCTGTTGATGAGCATGTGACCATCCTCATCTGTGTCCAGTCCCCCACCCCCACCCTCCACTCCCACCCCAGAGCCTTCTGCACTCCAAGACCCTGCTGACAGAAAGAGCTCATTAGCAGCCAGGCTCTGACAGATCCCGAACCCGACTGGACACAGGAAGCATGGGCAGCACCCGGGGTGGGCTGACTCTGCTCCCGCGGCTTCCACTCACTACCAGCTGAACCCCTGACTGCCGCCAGGACGCACGCAGCTGCCCATCATTGCCGGTGCAGTCACTTTTTGGGGGTACCCAGACAGAACAGAGCCCGGCTTCTGAACGCTGTGATCTGACAGTGCCTGGCAGGAGCTGCCGGTCTCACCCTGGCAACAATGACAACTCAGAATCAGAGACATTGGAGCCTGAGATGTCCCGCTCAGTTCCTGTCTCCTGTGTACCCAGGGCAGGGTGGGAGTTCAGCCTGCTGCAGCTCAGGCAGGTCCAGGGAGAGCCCCCCGAAAGCTCTTCCCTCTTAGGCCCTCAGCCTGACCAGCAGGCGGGCTCAGACACTCAGCCATGCTGCGTTTGAATCCTGGGATGGTCATAGCCGAGTAGCCCTGGAGATGTCCGACCTCTTTTGAGCCCTGGCTTCCTGCTCTCAGAACGAGGACAGGTACCATGTGCCAGACAGGGCACGAATGACGCACTTGCAATGTGGCACTGGCCAGGAAGGGGAGCTGTTCCCTTGGTCCCCTTCCCTTCCCGCCTCTCTGACTCCCTCCAGTGGAGCTAAAAACCTGCCCCTTAGATGGAAACCACACAGACCAATGCAGCCAAAGGAGTCAAATAATACTGGAGTCAAATGGCCAGTGAGAGAGTGGTGTGTGTGTGTGTGTGTGTGTGTGTGTGTGTGTGTGTGTGTGTGTGTGTGTGTGACAGCTGGGCTTTAATTCCAGCCCTTCTACCCACTGGCTGCGCGGCTGTGGGCCAAGCCCTCAGCACCTCAACCCTCAGCTTCCTCCCCTGTTCACAGAGATGACATCACCACCAC